GGGACAACCTCCCGCCCAACCCCCCCCCCCTACACTGAGTACATAAATTTTGTGCACCAGGCCTCTAGTTTATTATATTTTTGCATCACAGACGTAGAGCTTAGCAAGAACTTCATGGCCTCTTACACTGACATTAGAGCTCATGCAATAACACAGTATCACTTTATGCAAAAGTGTCCCAATAAATAAATTTTAGTGGTCATGGATGACTTTATCATAACATCACAAGGTTTAATGCTTCCATCTGCTTGCCTCAACAAAGATATTTTCAGGGCATTCTTTCTACTTTTCTCTAAACCTGGGAGGATGGGCAGGGAAGAATGTTACCTGTGATCAATCCCAACTGGCCTTTGTAGAAATGCCCCACCAGGCCCCCAACGTGGGCCCCCAGGCTCACACCAATGATGTGGATGGAGGACTTCGACACACCCAGCACCTACAACAGACATTTACAGTGGATTGAATATGGGCCTCAGCAGTCGCCTGGCCTCACAAGGCTGCACTTTCCCCTAAGGCTTTAGCAGCAGAGGGCCCTGGGCATGCATGATACAGGTGCTTCACATGCTTCAGTCAGGGGGTGAGAGGGTTGGGAAGGGCAGAATCCTCATTCTGGTAAGCCCCTGCCCTCTTGCTGAGAGCTCCAGGGGTAATCCCCTTACTTTCCCTTTGGTGCCCAATGTGAGTCATTAGCACATTCTCCCTCTGAGAGATGACTGAAGCTGGCCACTGGCTCTCTCTACCTGACATGCAGGGGCCCGGTATACAGAGGAGGAGAGGCGGGGAGGAGACTGACAAGCCCCTTGGGAGGCTCTGCTTCCACCCTAAATCTCCTCCTCATGTATTTCTTTGCTCACCCACCAGGAGTTCACTGAGGAAACTGGAGATCTTGAGTCCCAGCTTAATCACATTTTCCACGGCTGAGTAGTAGGCGCCCGTGGAGCCGGACACCCAATCCACGGCAATCACGTTAGCGTCTGCTGCCCTGAGAAGGGTCCTGATGAGCTTCTCAATCCAGGAGGGCTTTGTTCCTAAGGCCCTAGTCACGAGGCCAAGGAAAGATAGAACAGTTATCTGCCAAACAGTTATCTGACAATATCCATTGTCCTGGGAACATCTGTTAACAGAATAAGCCCAGAAAAAAATGTCAAGTCTAGGGAAGGGGGATACAAGGGCAGTAAGTCACAGCAATTTGAGCACAGGGAGGACAGAGCCCCAAAGTGACCAGGGCTTCTGCCCGCACGTAGGGAGCCTTTGTGTAAGTTATGAGAGGGTGCCTCTTGTCCGGGTAGCTGCAGCTCCGTGCTGGGCTCAGAACGCAGGCTGCATTTCAGCCCCCTAATCCCCAGCCCTCTGTGCAAAGTATCAGCTACACAAGCCATGTGCACTGGCCTTACTTGTGTGATTCGTGGGAAAGAAAGGATAGATTTGTACATTAGAGTTAAGATTTGCAATCTTAATTCTCATTCTAGAAAATAGGTACTTTCTTGAGGATGCTTTTATTTATCCATTCCCTTATTTATTTTTCAACAAATGAGCCAGGCAGGGTGCTAGGTGCTTTGCAAAAATTAAAAAATAAATAAAATACAGCCCCTATCACGCTGGAACTTGCAGTATAATAGCACCTTTCTAGGAGGAAAAAAAAAAAAAAAAAAAAAAAAAAGGAGAGTGGTTTTTTAAATTTCAGAATGCTTTCTTCCCAAGTGATTGGGATCAGGAAAGAAGTTTTCTCAGTGGCCTGTCACAGCACAGGAACAATCAGAGCATGCTTATGGGACAGAAGAGCACAGACTGGCATTTGCCAGGGAAATGGCTTTGGGGGACCTAGGAGTGAGTACACACAGAGAGGAGCCTGATGAGCTTCCAAGCTCTATTAGCTATTGCCAGGTTGAGGGCACACACTCAGCCTTGAATAGTGGCTAAATGTAGGATTTGCCAGGGGAGAGACTGGCACATTCCTGAGAAATGCTAGCCTCTGGGTGGGATAGAAGTAGCACCCATAGTGGAAGTTTCCTAAAACCCAGGAAGAAGTGAAAAAAAAAAAAAAAAAAGAAGAAGGAAAGAAAGGAAGGAGGGAAGGAAGGAAGAAAGGAAGGAAAGAAGGAAGGATGGAAGGAAGGAAAGAAGGAAGGAAGGAAGGAAGGAAGGAAGGAAGGAAGGAAGGAAGGAAGGAAAGAAGGAAGAAAGGAAGGAAGGAAGGAAACTCTGTATTTAAAAACAACACCAGGCCATTACCCATGAGTGATTGTGAAAAGCCCATGAGATAAATTATACAACCACACTGCAAGGAGGAAAGGCCCATGAGACCATCTCTACAAACTTCCTTTTTCTCTCTTATGGAAACCAAGGCCCCATGGGCTGGAGTGATTTGTCCAAGATCACACATATTTATTGTTCGAGCATGTGTAGACAAGGGCTGAGGGAGGAATAACATATATAACCAACAGGAATAAACAACATAAGGGATGTTCATGTTGACATGCGACACCTTTACAGACAGCAGGAGATAAGGGATGGGACTGGTGACAATGAGCCAATTCATTCCTCCCCTTACCTCCCACTACCTTCCCATGATTACTTTCTAGCGCTTAGCACAGGCAATCCTATTGATTGGTTAGCTCTTACCTGAATCCATGGATTATTAGTTTGGTTCCCAGAGTGACATTGAATCCAGAGTTCTGGAGGTCACTACTTTCTTCAATAAGGTTCCCACAGTGAGGATCCGAAGGGGTGAAGAGGAGGAACTGGACTTTGAGATTGGTGCCTCGGAAGGGGTTGGCATTCTGGAAGTCAGTGCACTTTGGCTGTTCGGTAGGAGGAATATCTCCTAGAGGGGAAAAAAAAAAAAAAAGAAAAAAAAAATCAAGACCAATGCAAGGTGAGGTCATCTGTTGTTGGGAGGACAGAAAGAAGTTCTAGAAAGGAAGGAAGAAACATGGGTACAGAAGAAGATGGTGGTCTCCACAGGAGTTAAAGTTCCTCATAATTTTCGCTCATTGGAAGCAAGTGAAGAAGGACAAAAAGGAGTAGCGATGGTATGGTTAGCTGGGGCCTTGAAGATGATGAAGATATGTTCACTTACAAGGTGAACAGGCATGACTATTGGGCCACTAATAACAAATTATGAAAACAAAATATGTAGCCTGAAAGTAGAATGTGGACCTAAGCTCCTCCATCAGTTAGATTTGTAATCAAAATTAATATGAATGGAATAAATAATTCCAGTGAAACCACAGGCGCAAGGAGCCTATCAGTATTAGCAAAATGGCAAAATTCATATATCAATAGCATTAAAGTTGTACTTCAAGAACTAAGATTCTAGTCATGTCCAAAGAGGCTTCCACAGCAACCAGAAGGACAAAATACAACAATTAATTTTAGTGGGTCTCAAAATTGTTTTAAATCAACAGTCTTCTACTCATGTTAATGTCTTGATTAAATGTCACAATGCAAAATACCCACTCATTAAGTAAAAGAATGCCAACTGGTAAACATGACCTGGACATTTGTAAGAATATACTTAATACTAGTGGCCCTGTGCACGAAATTCATGCACATTAAAAGGGAATTAGAGGAAATATTTTAATATTTGCCCCCTCTCTATAATAGAAATGTCAGAGATGGAAAAAGTTAGTAAAATGTATATGAAAATCTCCCTCCTGTCAGAGTTTGGGGAGTGCCATGGGACCCAGAGTCAAGTCCCCACCCACCCACATGCACTTCAAAATCCAGTGAGACCCAGACCTGGCTGGCCCCACCCCTGTCAAGCCCTGCAGGGCCAGAGGAGGTTGGGGGCACAGCCTCAGGTACCCTGGCCCCAGCATGAGGGCACAAGGGCATGATGACCATTTGCATAGTAGCTCTTTATTACATAGGATATGTCTTTTTAAATTTTAATTATTTTATTAGACAAAATTTTCAATACAATTTTTATTGGCATTATTCCTGTGGTTACTATCAATTTATAGTGGTACTGCTTGTCAATTTATGGTAGCAATATAAAATTTTCTGTTAAAGTACATCAATTTAAGTGAAAACATGGGTTGATTTAAAGAAAATTATTTAAATTTTAAGCTTGCTTGCTCCTTCCCCCGCTCCTTCCCCCCCGCCCCGCTTAATGGCTTGCCTTTGCCTTTCCCTCTCCTAAGCTCCTAGGGCCCTTCTTTTGCCTTTGTTACTTGTTTTCTGAGCCCGCACAGCCCAGCTGGCTCACTTGTACTAGGTCTGTAACTTTCTAAATAAACTTTCCTTTATAATTCAAATAAAATATAAATACAATTATTACCTAACTAATATCTTAGGATATGTCTTAAAACCTGGTCATAAACACACTATGTTTTCAGGTAACAGGAGAAAAAATGCAGCACAATTTTTTAAGGCATTGTCATTTAAACATAGGCTGGAGTATTTAAAGTAGAACTCAGGTTTACAAAATGAAAGTATGGTGATTTTTACTAAAAAGTAAAAATCTCAAGAAAAAGAGAAATGGCATGCTTTATCCATCTTGTTTAGTGAAAGAGCTTCAATTTAAATTGTCTAAAGTAAAAGATACAATTAATTTTGTCTCAAATTGTTTTAATTTTTAAGTGGTGTGGGTGCTGACTGCCAATATATCAAAAATATGTTCAGAATTGTTTGGATGTCTGTATTTATAGTAAAAAAAAAATGTCATGGGGAAGGTCAATGAATTTCTGTTAAAAGCTGTTTCTGTGTGTTACATGTAACAGACATGGTAAATATTTGTTCACTGTTTTTGTTGGACAAGCCATACATTTCAGTTTAAGTGAAATTAGCAAAAAGGAAATAGGTGAATTGATTTGAGATTATGGGGAGGTGATTTTTTGAGATTAAAGTTGGTCTTAAAATGTAAATAAAATGCAAATCGTGTTCTCAGAAACTGCCATTTCTGTTATATGGATGTGGTACATGGAAAGTACCTTCCTGAGATAGCAAAGACTGGAATTGTAACTTTTCATTCATATAAACTTTTATTGTTAATCATGTATATTTCTTGTGAATTGGAATTTGCAGAGTATTTTAGAGACCAAATTACTTGATTAGTTTAATTTCATCTTTGGAGAAGAAGAAATCCCAAGTATTATATTTTGACTTTGATTTCACCAGAAATATATTAAAAAGATGTTTGAATTCTAGCAATTTTTATAGAATTACAGATTGTAATTATATTTTGAAATATACCTTCTATTTTTATTCATAACCTCTTTTTCTGATGACATTTTTTCTCCCAATGCTTTTAATACTGATGGGATTAACTTACCCATTTCACTTGTCTTTCATTTCAGCATCTGTGTAATTTTGGACTGATGTTCTGCTTTTACCAAAGTGAGAGGTTTTAAGTTATTGTTTTTCATTTAAAAACACTAGGCACACTACTTTATTGAAAAATACTCTTTTCTCATGGGTTCACTGCACAAAATAGAAAGGTTAGGTAACACAGACAAATTTCTTAAACATGCTTTGACATGTTTTTGTCAGGTTCATTCATATCGAAAGCTTTCAGCTACTTTTTCTTAGTCACTAATATATTAAAGTCGGTGATAGTTTGTCTAAACTTTTAATTTCAACATGGCTATTCTATTTTAATTACCAAAGATATTTAAAATGACACATAGAGAATATATATCTATATCTATATCTATATCTATATCTATATCTATATCTATATCTATATCTATATCTATACACACACACACACACACACACACACATATATATTAGTGCATGTATAATGAGTTTGAAGTGAAATATTACCTTGGAATACATTCTGAAAACTTTTAAATTGGTAAGGGAGATTAAGTTAAATTACATTGATGTCATACAGAGGAGTCTGATGGTTACTAATGATTTAAATCAATCTCTTTAAGAACATCTTTCCACTTTGAAAATTTGTCTTATCATTCATAGATGCTAAATGCTGTTAAATTATTCATATATTGGTGGGCTGAGAATCTGGGTACCTTAATCTTTTATCCTCTTTCCTTTTCCAATATCCATTAACTGTGAAGGGTTTTCTGTTGTTGTTTTCAGCAAAATGTAATGTTTATTTCACCTTTTTGTTTTGGGACTATGGATAAATCTGCATGCAAAAGCAAGATTCATTTTGCATGTCACAATCAAAATGTGTGTGGCAATCTAAGACACACTGATTGATTATAGAAGTTAATACAGAACCAACCTTAATTGTAGTAACATTTCTAAGACAACAGTTTTGAAGCCATTTTTCCTTTGTCTATTTTGTAAAGGGGCTAATGTTGTAGGAGTGTGTGGTATTAAATGAACTAAAATTGCCTTTGAAATTTGTTTAAAAAGCTAGCAGATGAGCCCTAGAGGATGATCTTATATTAATAAAATTACCACAAAAAAAAAAAAGAAAGAAAAAGGGGCTTATAAACATTTTAAATCAGCTAGATTCATATGTATAATATACATATTAAATTACATATATTATATATATATATATATATATATATATATATATATATATATATATATATATATATATATATATATATATAAAAGCCCAGTGACCGTTAAGGCAGAACAACTGGAACGCCTGGAACGACCAGTTGCTAACACAGGAGCTGCCCCCTGGTGGTCAGTGCGCTCCCACAGCAGGAGTGCCACTCAGCCAGAAGCCAGGCTTGTGGCTGGAGAGTGCAGCAATGGTGGCAGGAGCCTCTCCCATCGCCACAGCTGTGCTAAGGAGTGGCAAGCCAAGCAGTAAGGAGCAAGCAGGTGGGCAGTAGGTAAAGAGCTGAGAGCCAAACGGTAAGAAGTGAGCAGGCGGGCAGTAAGGAGCAAGCAGGAAAGTGGTTAGAAGCAAATAGATGGGCAGTTAGGAGCGAGGGGTCGTGGATTGCGAGAGGGATGTCTGGTGATAGGCCTAAGCCAGCAGTCAGACATCCCCCAAGGGCTCCCAGACTGCAAGAGGGTGCAGGCTGGGCTGAAGAACCCCCCACCCTCTTTATGCACAAATTTTGTGCATCGGCCTCTAGTGTTATTTAATCAGATACATTTATTAAAACCTGCATAATTTCTGAAATAAAAATGTGTGAATATTTAACATCTAAAGAAAAATGTCAGAGATGAATATGAATATTACTCAACAATAGGAGATTAAAGGCCATGGTGAAATGGATACTGTTGTGAACTAAACTGAGTCTCCCTATAAATCCATACATTGGAGTCCTAACCTCCAGTTACCTCAGAATGTGACTGCATTTGGAGATAGGGTCTTTACAGAGGTAATCACATTAAAACAGGCCATTAGAATGGGCCCTAATCCAATATGACTGGCATTCTTATAAGAAGAGAAATCTGGACACAGACACAGAAGAAAGATGATGAGAGGACACATGGAGCAGATAGTCATTTACAAGCCGAGGAGAGAGATCAAGAAGAGATCCTTCCCTCACAGCCCTCAGAAGGAACCAACTCTACCGCCGCCTTGACCATGGCCTTCCAGCCTCCAGAACTAGGTGTCAATAAGCTTTTGTGTTTAAGCCATCCAGTCTATGGCATGTTGTTACAGGAGCTCTAGCAAAGTAACACAGATTTATATATTAAAAAAAACAACAACAAAAAAAAACAGGCAACAAGATAAGCAGTTGGGCTGGGATGAAGCTCACTCTGGACTGAACCCCAGTCCAGCCCCATCATTATCATCGTAATGAACAATCTGGAGCCTCTGTGCCCGGCCCATGGCCACCTAGCCAGAGGTCAGAGCAAACCTTTCACAAGCCGTACCCAGTCTACAGCACCTCACAATAGATACGTTTAAATGGGATATTTTATGGTCAAGGTCATTGAAGGGCCTTTAAAAATACTGAACTGAAAAAGGCAGCATGAAACTCCTCCTTTCCAGGGAGATGAAAATCTGGCCCCTCTTCAATACCCAACATTGCACCCCATGTTTGCTTCTGTGGCAAAGAGGTGTGGCACCTGGCTCCCAGCCTGGTTTGCAGGGAGGGATCAGCAGCAGCAGCAGCAGCACAAGCACACCCTGACCCAGGCTACAAGGCCCCAGTCATGGCACTGTTAGCAGCTGCCTCGCATTACTGCCATGGGACAAAGCCATTTACAGAATTAGAGAGGTCCAGACTGCAGACTTGGGTTTGTGCAGGTCCCTTCATGAAGAAGATAGCAATTTTAGTTTCCTGGAATAGTTATCTGCCTTCAGTTCACCAGGGAGCACATATACAAGGAGCATGTGGATCTGAGAGGAGTGAGTTGTGGCCCCATGAGCAGATGGTGGGAACCCCATATTTAGAGAGTACTGAGATACACCGGCATTTTCACCACCTCTGCATCTGAGCCCCAAGTCCTCTTGTATGTCCTTCCTGGACACCCTGGCATGAAGCCCCCACACTTCTCAGCCTACAACTTGAGCTCCCGAAGGACATGGAAGAGAAAGATGCCTGGCACTATGACAGTTCTGCCTTCCCCAGCCTCTGGCTTTTTAATATATATATATATATATATATATATATATATATATATATATATATATATATATTATTGATTTCAGAGCGGAAGAGAGAGAGAAAGAGAGTGAAATATCAATGAAGAGAGAGAATCATTGATCGGCTGCCGCTGGGGATCCAGCCTGTAACCGGGGCATGTGCCCTTGACCAGGAATCAAACCTGAGACCCTTCAATCTGCAGGCCAAGGCTCTATCTACTGAGCCAACTGGCTAGGGCCAGCCTCTGGCTTTTCAACAAAAAAAGTTAAAGAGCTCTGGTTGAGCATGAAACTTGGACATCATAAATGAGTAAATTTGCTCTATTGTTCTAGGGCCGTGGGCTGCAAACTGCGGCTTGAGAGCCACATACAATTCTTTGGCTCCTTGAATGTGGCTCTTCCACAAAATACCACGGCCTGGGGGAGTCTATTTTGAAGAAGTGGTGTTAGAAGAAATTTAAGTTTAAAAAATTTGGCTCTCAAAATAAATTTCAATCTTGTACTGTTGATATTTGGCTCTGTTGACTAATGAGTTTGCCAACCACTGGTCTAAGGAAATCTTCCACCAAAGAATTGAGAGTCCTTTTAAAGGAGCACTGTACATCACAAAGCAAGGCACAAAAACATCAAAGAATCAATATTATCCAGACATTAGCTAAATAAAGTGCAGTCTAATTATTTTAAAAACGCAATTGGATATTTAAAAACCCCTTTTGGGTTAAAGGATAATCACAGTAGAGACTAGAGCTTACTAAAATCTAAATGACAATAGAACCAATACATATAAAAACTTGAGTAAAGAGCTAAAACCATAGTGGGGGATAAGCATAACCTCAAATACAATTAGTAGGTAAATGAAGGGAAATAAATAGGTTAGGTAAATTAATGTTATAATTAAGAAAGTTGAAGAAAAACTATGCAGAAACTCCAAATAAAATATAGGGAACGAACTATAAAGAAAATCATTGAAATTAAAGAAACCATTGAAATATAAATAGCATTGCTAGCAACACAGTTGCTCAGGCCAAACTTCCTGGAGACATCTCTGCTCATCCCTTTCTCTCACACCCACAGAACAAGAATTATAACTACGAATGGCTCTCCCCTCAGAATAAGATACTCACAATTAAACCATTCTCACTACCTACAGTGGTCCCCTTATCCACGGGAAATTACTTCCAAGACCCACAGTATATGCATGAAACTACTGACAGTACCAAACCCACTATATACTATGTTTTTTCCTATGCATACATACCTATGATAAAGTTTAATTTATAAATTAGGCACAGTAAAAGATAAACAGCAATAACTAATAATAACATCGAATAATTATGACAATATACTGCAATAAAAGTTCTCTCTCTCAAAATATCTTATTGTCCTACTAGAGGCCTGGTGCATGAATTTGTGCATGGACAATGGGGGCCGATCAGGTCAGGCCAGTAGGGGGGGTGGCGCCCCCCAGCAGGCAGTTGGCCAGCTGGCTCTGCCCCTAAATGGAGGTTGGGGGGCCGATCGGGGCCCCAATCAGGATTGTTGGCTGCCACAGCATGTGTCATAGTGACCCGTTGTTCCTATTGTTCTGGTCGCTTGGCTTTTATGTATATAGGTGCCATCTCACACCTTCACTTTTTCTTGTGAAGGTGTGAGATGGCACCGTGCCTCTGTGATAAGATGAAGTGAGAGACTCAAAACAAGTGCATTATAAACCTATGAATTGTTTATTTATGGAATTTTCTATTCAATATTTTCTGATAACAACTGAGGGCAGGGAACAAACATCAGAGAGCAAAACCGCAGATAAAGGGGAGACTGTCATACATTGCTCTCTCCCAGGCCTACAACTGCTTTTCCTGCTCTCACTCATAGCTCCCTTTAGTGTAGTTGCAACCCAACAGCCAAAAAAGTGAGTCAAATCATATCCCATCTCTGTGCAAAAGCCTCCAAGTCATAGAGGCTTAGAATAAAGCCCCACGTTCTAACAAAGATTGAAAGCCCCTAAATGGTCTAACCCAGTGGTCAGCAAACTCATTAGTCAACAGAGCCAAATATCAACAGTACAATGATTGAAATTTTTTTTGAGAGCCAAATTTTTTAAACTTAAACTTCTTCTAATGCCACTTCTTCAAAATAGACCGCCACACCCCCCCCCCCCACACACACACACACCGCAGGCCATGGTATTTTGTGGAAGAGCCACACTCAAGGGGCCAAAGAGCCTCATGTGGCTCTCAAGCCCCGTTTGCTGACCACGGATCTAACCAACCCCTCTAGGAGCCCTTAGCTGACCTGACCGTTGCTTTACCCTGGGTCTTCTCCCTGGACAGGTTCCCACTCTAGGTCTTTGCCCTGGCTGTTCTCTGGCGGGGAGTGTCTCTCCCCAGACATCCACACGGCTAATTCTTCCTCCTCCTTCAAGT